ATTAAGATGCATATTATTAGGATATTGGCTGTTTATTAGTACTTATAAAGCACATACATCCCTAATCCTACCCAATACCTAAACTTAACAACTACCTTACTAACTATTAATAAGCATTAATTCTGAGTTTATTGAGGCAAAAGTTAATAGTGAGAATTGTACCCTAATCTAAAGTGTGACCAGCATGCCATGTCTCAATCCCATAACTCCCTTTCCACTGTCTATAGAGTAGCTGAAAAACCCTAGTCTCAAATCTAACCTGCAGATAAACAGACTTGAAAACACACAGAGTTTTCTGTACTTTTTCTTCTTGAGGGTGAAAAATCCAATGCAATGAAATAGAGCGATTCTCTCTGCAGTGAACACACGTCCCTGCATGTGCCGGCCCTGACGCCCAGCTCAATCCATCATTACTACACTAAATCATCTTTCTGTCAATAACACCACTGCAAAATATTACAGTCATGTGGATACTGTTATTTTTAATGACATTCAGCAGTCCCCTTGGGCTGATGGAGCGAGCGAGAAATACACAGAGAGAGAGAGAGAGACTGCATAGGTAGGCAATAACATTTGGCAGAAAAGTGCTTAGCAGTTTGAAAAGAGTCGAGAGCGAGAGAGTAGTGGAAGCGTTAAATACTAAAGGACGACTACAGACTGTTATCTCCATGACAGATAATTGCTAGTCTGTTCAGTCGAAAGCGTTTTAAAGGATCTATGAAAGATCTTTGAGATCCTGGGAAAACAGGAAAGGGAAAAAGTTTCCAGCAAGCTGGCGATTCCAACTCCATCATCTGGGTATAATTGCTCATTTAATATTAGAATAGGATTTTGACGTTCTCATTTATTACAAGAGCTCAGTGCAACCTGAAGTTCTGAGTATGTGTGTGGTCTGATATCAATGTCACACCTCCTCAATAACTCAGACAGGCCAGTGTGCTTATCTTTCTTTGACACTCAGATCAATCTTGCTTTTAATCCTGAACCCATTCGCAGTCTCTCTCACCTCAACCCCACACATCAAACACAAACATCACATCCCTCCTGTGAATGTGCGTGTCTGTGTCCAATCAAGTCAAGGACACAGGATGGGGCTGGCTGATCTTCCAGAATCCAGATTATACACTTCATATAGATAGCAAACAGTGCCGGCTGCTGACGTTCAACACTCCTAATTTCTTAGAATGTTCATAGAATTAAGTGAATTACTCTATATGCTGAGAAAACTTCAAACTTGTCCAGTTGTCTTGAATTATTTCAATTAATTCAAGACCACCGGTTTGTTTTTTTGGTGAAAAAGAAAACAGCTCACACTGACAGGGTTTGTTTGTAGAATAAAAGTCTGAATTTATTCTGTTGATCTGTACATTGAACAAGAGACTGCAGCACACACGCGCATAAACGCACACGCACACACGACTGATGTTAACCGGCGAAACCTGCTTCGCACAGGTAAAGAGTGCAACTGGTTCACATAGAACATTTGATTTCGCTTTCCATTGCCTTTTTACCCTTGTTCTCCGTTTGAGTCCCCGTGGAGTCAGACACAAGCTGCAGTGAGGCCGAGTTTAGCTGAAATCAAGCCGGGTTAGGCCTAAAAACACAGCATGAATAAAAATTCTCCACTGAGAGTCTTTTAAGTCCAGGCTTAGGCTTGATCTGTGTGCAAGTAAAGCAGACCTAACGTATGGGGAACAGGGACTGTTGTGAGCAGGAAGATCCAGCTGACAGCAGCTCTCACTGACTCCATGGTAAAACCAATACTAACCAGTACGTGACCATATCAAAAGAAAATACCCACAACCACCCACAAACGCAGACCTGAAAGAGAGCATGTTCACAGTTATTTCATCCAACATTCCCAATCAACGACTTTCCAGAAAATATTTGATTAATACATATACATTATGTATATATATATACGCATATATGTATATATATGTATATATATATAGAGGTTTCTAGATATTTATTCAGCAGCAAGAATGAAGAGATGACAAAGACATGATAAAGACACAAAACGTGAAATGAAAATGAAAATCAGATTTAAATGGAATACTATAAATTTCTGAACTCATTGTCTGGTCTTGAGGTCAGTTGAGCTTCACGAGACACAGAATCATCAAAAACGTCTTGACTGGAAAGTGTTCGCTAGCAAAAGTCACACAATTTGCCTTCAGCTCTCACAGTACACGCTCTAAATGATTCAACTGTCCGCATCGATATATCATTTCACAGAAAAAAGCGTCTGATTGGATTTGTGTGGACGGACTAATTTACGTTCTGCTGAGCGCCAGTCGCTTGACACACCCGTATTTTTAAAGATGCTTTTTGCTGAACTAAAATGCAAATCAGACACTTTGTTTTCAAACAGTTCTTAATGACAACAACAAAGTTTCTTTGGAAGTTAAGAAAACCCTCTACAGTTAACATACTGCACAATACCACCACCATCAAATGTAAGACTACCATGTTAGTTGCACTGTAATTCTACAGTGGGATTGACTTTCACATTAACTGCTGAGGACCGCATTGGTGTGAGAGTCAACTGCCCAGTATGATTTAGGTAGATGGTTTGGATTATCAGGTTTCTTACTCCAGCATTAGGTTTGTATTGTACGATAAAGTCAAGGTTATATGGCCACGGATAGATCCTGCGTGCACGGGATTTAATATTCTGTTAAATTGGAACAGAGTATGTGAGGTAATTAGTTAGAGAGGTATGTCTTGTTTGAAAAATTAAAAAACTAAATCTTTACGATGTGTGCTGAATGCAATTCCTAAGAGTTTATCCGATGCTTTGTTTTTATCCCAAAATTCCTGCTGCTATAAAATTAACATTAACCAGTTGTATCCATGCAAAGCGGAACGACCTCCAGAAAAGTAGAAAAATTAGCACCATCTGAGGTAAGTAACACAGAGTAGACAACCCACGCCTGCTGTAGCACCATCAATGGGATAAAACTGTAATTACTGCAAGGAAACGGAAAACCAAACGCTTTCTACTGCCACAGAGACATCGACACAGTTGTTAAGAGAGTGAAACACAACATCTGAAATGAATCTACACCATATAGACTGATTTATATCTCTGAATGAGGTATGAGGATAGCGAGACTGTCCTGGAACACAGACAGACGATGATGATCGGGAATGAGGTAGGACTGTGACTCTACATGCTTGTTTTCAGACTAAGAATAACCTGAACTTGTGTTTTTATCAAAAATACATTTCTTTCACTAGTAGAGCTGAGAATATTGTTTGTTATATAAGAATGACTCTGAGTAGGGACCTTTATTGTAAATGCAACCATGAAAAAAGTAAAACCGCAACAGGAAGTTGCTGTTCTTGCGATAGCGGATAAAACTGGGCAGTTTTCGGAATTGCTGTGGCATGTGGGCGGGTCCTCAGCATTTGATTGACAATCTCAGCATGTAGGTTAGTGAAGCAGGCCGGAGCAATTAACTATTTTCTCCCCGAAGAATGTCCTCATTCTAGTTTTTCTTTTTTTTGGCATCATAAAGGAATGAAGAAATAAATGATTAAACACGTTTCAATCTGAACAATATAGCCATATCCATCTAAAGCTTAATGCTCTTGATACGGAACAGAAAACAACATAAATCAGACAATGAAGTTGTCGACAGCACAGCGACACCTTGTCTTTTTTTCAGTAAAAAATAAATTCCGCCTACTTTCCTGTTTCTTTAACTTAGGTAACTGTGGAAAAACTTAGCAGGGGACGTTTTTGTGCAAGTTCATATTTACAAGACTGATCACAAACTGTCCGTTGCTGAGATTCCACTTTGGCTTATTTTCAACAGAACTCCAACACACATTCGGATTGGATGTAACTCATTCGCCATGACAAAACGTCTTCTACACAATATGCCAAGAACAACTCAGATGATATGTTGATCCCTCATGCGCTTTGCTCTGGACTCGCCATTTTCCAGAGGCACAGACCAGCTCAAAGCTAAGCACCGCTATTACACAGCCACTGAAAAGCATGGGCACCAGCCTCACCATAGTCTCCCAGAAGAGAAAAGACAGCCTCCGCGAGGCTACTGCTTCGCTTTTGTAGCCTTTAGCCTATAAATACTGTACATGATTGTATTCAAAAGTCGGATTTTCCCTGATGGGATTCACTGGTTTGATCTCGCAACTAAAGAAACTTTAAATTTTTAATTTTCCTCGGATCTGAACGCCGCCGTGCCCGAATTCAGTCTCGGCGCAGCTGCGAGACGAAAACAAAGCAAGAGAGCAATACATAACGCTGGAGTCTTTTTCAAGGCAACGATCCCACTAGCAAATCTCCACACAAAAAGTATGACCACATGGACAGATGATAAAGTTTGGCTTTCATTCACCCTCGACGCACCTAAAGCTGTCATTTTCCAGTATACCCGCACAGTACGCACGCTCATTAGGGAACATCAAATATTCAAAAAGTGTGGCAATACATATCACACAATACAGGAAATATCTACAGGAAAAAAAAGAAGAGAAAGACATTCAGTGGAACAAAAGAACCTTATTACAATCTGTCCTCTCGCGTAATTACCTTGACATATTGGAGGTACATCGCTGTAAGAAAGAAAAAAAGGAATCGCTTTCATAGGCTCGAAAGAATGAGAAACAAATGACTGCTAAACTGCTATTGAGTGGCAGAAAACTGATAGCTGATTGATGTTTTCTTGTGAATCTTTTCACAAGCTTTGTAAAATGTTTGTTGACTTTTTTTTAAATTGGCTTGAGTAAATCACAACAAAGCAGCCAACATTGATGAATTTTTATACTTTTTTTTCTGTCCTTAGGATTAAAGTGCTACGTTGTCGAAGATGGACAATGACTTCCTCAGAACGGAAAGGAGGGCAACGACTGCCTCTCGACGGAAATGACTCCAAATGAAATGATAATCTGTAACAAATGACTCACAGTGAGGTGAAGCATTGAGATACCTGCGGTAAAAAAATCCATGTTAGTATCAATTTAAGATATGGGTTTCTGTCATTAGAGATGATGTATTCGCGAAGAGCCCTGCATTCTTTTAGAAATGTGATTACCCAGGATCTACATTAATAGCGAAACGTCACATATACACTGTAAAAGTAGAAATGATTATAAACTACATACAGTATGAACCAGCAAAGATAAAGACAGAATTACAACATTGTCTGACTCGATTCTGAACCAGAAGCTTAGTGAGATAAGGTGCAGCCTGGATGCAAACGATGAAATGTTCAAAAACATGAGAATATATTCCAAATGTACAGTGAAATTTTCTCCCCACTAATAAATGTACTCGATTTATAAAAAAACAACAAAAAAAAAACGGGGAGGCTTTTGCGTGGCAGATCTGTGGTTAATTCACAGTAAGCGATATGGCATCACAGTCAAGAACCCAAATCTGCAAAAGGCTCGTTTTTCTTTCTTTTGTTACGCCGACAAGCCACATAAACCGTCTGTGATGAAAATAAAGACGACAAGGGGAGACAAAGGACTAAAGTGTGGATGGCATGGCTCGTTGTAAGTTGTCACGATATCTTATTTCTCCCCCCGATGAGTGCGCCCTCTACAGGTGGGCTGGAGCAGAGACTCTGCTGTTGGCGTGACCAGAGGAATGAGGCTAATGTGTAACCCCCCCCCGCCCGAGCACTGCTGACAGTTTTACCCCACGTCCGCACACGGCACCTGGCATCTCTCCACACTCACACACCAAAGTGCAGTTAAAGCAATATCAGCTCATATTACAATCACAGCTTGCTATAAAACAGAGAACACAGTTCCCAATGATTGCCAGCTGGAAGAAGGCCCTGCAGCCCAGCTCTGATTTCCACTTACCCTCCGTCCCAAGTGCAATTTACAGCTGGTAAAAGGTCTTAGGTGGTCTCCATCTCCGTAGACCCGATAATACAATAACTCTTGTCCCATGGCTAGTCCATCAAGTTCACTGAAATCAACTTGGATGTGCTTTTGTTGTTTACAAGAATCTTATTTTATACTTGACGCCATTTTTACTGTACTGTTGTGAACTTTGTACACAACACGAGACCTCAGAGAAGAAGAATTCAACTATACTTAAACATATGACATTAAAATACTCTCTTCTATTTTGGGCCCATTTTACACAACAATGCATTTTGTTCAAATATACACCGCTGTTGAAAAGTTTAAGGACGGATTTCTTCAAGAAATTAATTCTTATATTCGGCAAGGATGCATTAAATGAATCAAAAGTGTTACAAAAGATTTATATTTCAAATGAATGCTGTTCTTTTTAACATTCTATTCCATCACAGGAATACATTTGAAGTTAAAATATATTAAAATAGAAAAGTTATTTAAAATTGTAATAAAATATCACATGCATTTTTGATCAAATAACGGCAACCTTGGTGAGCATAAGAGACTTCTTTCAAAAACATAATAAAATAAAAAACCTACCAACCCTAAAGTTTTGAACCGTAGTATGAATCCCTTAAAAACATGTCATCGTAATTATGACTTCCGAACGCGTAAGAATTTCCCAACAGGACTATCGCCTAAAGCGAAAACAACAAGCATACTGATGACCTTAGAAAGTCTAAATTGAACTTTAAACAAATATTTATTCACCTGGATGGGACTGAATACCAAAAAAACACTGCTAATCCGTCTTCCAGGACAACCGTCTAGCAGAATCACTGACTACATGCGACCTCTCCACCTCTAACAACCATCAAAAACTAGAACGGACCATCAGTAGTCATCTCAGGAAAGCAATTAACGGGAGCAATTAGGCCTAGATTGATTAATTAAATCAATCGTTCATTAAGACGACGCAGGGTGTGACCCTGTTTAAAAGTGCAACTCTTTATGTTAAGTACCTTTAGCAGATGGTCCCAGTGAAGTGACCTACCTCCCCTTAAGACTCCGACTCTAAGCCAGCATTTATGACAAGGGAAACCTCTTTAGTACATTAGGACATGTTCTGACACAGAACACAAGCTGATGTGCCAAACACATTTTACTCGCACACGATTTAAAGGATCGCTCCTGTCTATCACGCGTAACATCAGACCCACCCCGAGATCCCCATCAAAGCTTACAAAAACCCCGCCCCATTCACTCACAGAATGCACACCGGAATGCTAAGGCAGTGTGGAGAGAGGTAAAACTGTCAGACAGGTTGTAAAACAGGGTCTGCGAGAGTTAAAGACTGAGAGGTCTTGGGAGGGCATCAGTGGAAATCTCAATTGGCAGCGCCGGTGATTACGTGCACCTTCTCCACCAGAAGTCCTTGAGGAGTAGAATGAGCTATGGTGACAACTTTAGCGCCCCCTACAGGCCGTCATAGGGGAAGTTCTCCATCTTCACTGTCTGTTGGATGAGAAGCTTGGACTCTCGGCGTTCCTCGTTCTTGATGGATTTGTTGATATCCATGATCTTTTCGCAGATGTATTTGTTCACTTTGGATAATCGCTGGGTGATCTCTGCGCTGTCGGCTGTTTCTTGAGACACGCGGTCGTACAGACACTCTGGAACAAAAGATTAGACCAGAAATCAGCTTATTATTATTTATTTAGTAAAAAAAATGTTCCTTTATTCCTTATTCATGATGGTTTACTTGAATATTCACTTGAAAAAAACTGAATTTTTCTTTTTTTTAAATGTAACAATTTTAATAATTTAACAATGTTGTTACATATATTTATTAAAATTTAAATATTCAAATTAGGTTTTATACCATATTAGTTTCAGCTGTGAAATTAAAATTTTGGTTATTGGTCTTGAGAGCTAACATTTGGTCAACATTAACAAATCTCAGAATGATAAAATTTTCATCAACAAAACCAGAAATCGAATTCCAACCTATTCTTTAATTTAATTTTAATAATAATAAAAAAAGTAATTCTAATGAAAGGTAGTGTGTTTACCTCGGACGATTTTGAGCTTGCTTGGTGAGAGTGGTGGTTTGGGCAAGGCATCTTTCTTCTTCTTCGTAGCGACGCCAGTCACGCTGCGGTTCTTCAGGGTTTCCGTGCCCCAGATCATCACCGCCAGGTTTTTGGTGAATTTCGAGTCTCCCTGTGTCCGCTGTAGCTGGTGCCACTTCTCCTCCTCCACCCAAATCCCTCCACCCAAATGCACCTGCAAGAGAGACGCTCATCTTCAAATATGCAGCATACACACACCGTCACAGACAAGATTTTGCTTTCACGTTCTGCCACTTAAGTGCCATGTGGTCGATTCCCCGAAGTATGTCTGGGACATGGTAGCTTTTCTTTCACAATGAATTAAACAACTCTGTTTATGGAGGATGACATGCAACATTCTGTTTAATTCAAGCTTGTTAACAGTAGTTTGTGTACCATATTGAACAGTTCTGCTCATAGGTTTACACAAAACTTGCTGATAATGTAGGATGTTTAGCATTTAAAAAAGAATCAACAAAACTAAATCATAAAATTGTGTTTTTATTTAGCACTGCTCTAATCAGACATCTATCTATCTATCTATACACGCGTCATATATACACTCACCGGCCACTTTATTAGGTACCCCATGCTAGTAACGGGTTGGACCCCCTTTTGCCTTCAGAACTGCCTCAATTCTTCGTGGCATAGATTCAACAAGGTGCTGGAAGCATTCCTCAGGGAGTTTGGTCCATATTGACATGATGGCATCACACAGTTGCCGCAGATTTGTCGGCTGCACATCCATGATGCGAATCTCCCGTTCCACCACATTCCAAAGATGCTCTATTGGGTTGAGATCTGGTGACTGTGGAGGCCATTTTAGTACAGTGAACTCATTGTCATGTTCAAGAAACCAATTTGAAATTATTAGAGCTTTGTGACATGGTGGAAGTAGCCATCAGAGGATGGGTACATGGTGGCCATAAAGGGATGGACATGGTCAGAAACAATGCTCAGGTAGGCCGTGGCATTTAAACGATGCCCAATTGGCACTAAGGGGCCTAAAGTGTGCCAGGAAAACATCCCCCACACCATTACACCACCACCACCAGCCTGCACAGTGGTAACAAGGCATGATGGTTCCATGTTCTCATTCTGTTTACACCAAATTCTGACTCTAACATCTGAATGTCTCAACAGAAATCGAGACTCATCAGACCAGGCAACATTTTTCCAGTCTTCAACTGTTCAATTTTGGTGAGCTCTTGCAAATTGTAGCCTCTTTTTCCTATTTGTAGTGGAGATGATTGGTACCCGGTGGAGTCTTCTGCTGTTGTAGCCCATCCGCCTCAAGGTTGTGCGTGTTGTGGCTTCACAAATGCTTTGCTGCATACCTCGGTTGTAACGAGTGGTTATTTCAGTGACTGTTGCCCTTCTATCAGCTCGAACCAGTCTGGCCATTCTCCTCTGACCTCTGGCATCAACAAGGCATTTCCGCCCACAGAACTGCCGCTCACTGGATGTTTTTTCTTTTTCGGACCATTCTCTGTAAACCCTAGAGATGGTTGTGCGTGAAAATCCCAGTAGATTAGCAGTTTCTGAAATACTCAGACCAGCCCTTCTGGCACCAACAATCATGCCACGTTCAAAGTCACTCAAATCAACTTTCTTCCCCATACTGATGCTCGGTTTGAACTGCAGGAGATTGTCTTGACCATGTCTACATGCCTAAATGCACTGAGTTGCCGCCATGTGATTGGCTGCTTAGAAATTAAGTGTTAACGAGCAGTTGGACAGGTGTACCTAATAAAGTGGCCGGTGAGTGTATATGTATATATCAGAGTATCCGCTAGAAAAAAATGGTGCCAGTCAAAGTGACCGGCAGAGGTTTCGTTTAACGGACATTTTGATGATATGCCGGTAAAATATCGCCTCCTAATTAGTCAAGTTGAGGAAAACTGGAGGCAGGCTATGTAACTTAAAAAAATGACATAATCAGGCCGTATAGACTGCAACATGTTATTATTAGCCTAACTTTCAAATAGACGGAAAAAACATGAACGTCCGATTGGCGTCAATCAACACCAATTGTTTTTTACTATGGTTTCACACACATTCACTTTTTGAAACATTGAGGCACGGATGTACCTAATACAAATAAATAAAACATCTCCAGTTAACTAGCAGATCATTCATTTAATTCGCTATTAAATAAGAGATCTAGCGCTAAAATCAGTTGTTTTTGAAATCAAGCTGAGCGCTCGTGTCCGCTGCTAGCAGTTGCATGGACGATGCGCTGCGCGAGTTGCGCAATCTTCACTCGGACGCGCGTTTCAATCTATCGCCGTTGCGGAGACTCTACACAGACGAAGCACTGCTACTTGGGCGCAGAGATATCACGCAACACCTGAAATAAAGCTTGCCACAAAGAACCGGTGAAAGTAATGATTATGCATGAAACATTTAAATTGTTGATAAATTGATAAAGTTGACGATGCAGACTCGCCATCTTGGCAGTAGTGAACGCGCCTAGAGAGAGAAATGCACACTTCATATGAAGTGTGCACGCGCCGGCGCCTCCGTGTCCTGATTATATTGTCCACTATATTTGCTTCTTATTTATTAATCCAGGCAAATTGGTTGATGAAACATTGATTAAAATGAAGATACAATTTATACAAAACGAAATAAACTTTCAAGAAAGGCTTTCTACAAAACAAAACTAAATAAGTGGTCAAAATCTGACCCATTCCAAATGTTTTCCGATATATTGGTCATCTTATGATCCTATCTTACTCATCTCATGCGGTTCGCTTTTCATATAATCAACATAGATGAAATAAAAAAAATAATAACATTATAGGCCTATTATTTATAAATATGAAACGTATGTTTAAGTTTTTTAACTTATAATAAGCGTCACACCGCTCTGCTTTGCTCACATGCTCTGGTGTGTAGCCTAATGCATGTGTGCGTGCATGTGGTGGAGGGGTGCGATTTTCGAATAATAATCAACCCAGCGATCTTCGAATATTATTTTTGCTTGAAAATTTCGTTTTGTATAAATTGTATCTTAATTTTAATCAATGTTTCATCAACAAATTTGCCTGGATTAATAAATAAGAAGCAAATATAGTGGACAATATAATCAGGACACGGATTGAAACGTCTCACTCAATCGTTCGTTGTTTAGGTCTATATTACAGCCGTTCTAGGCGTGCGCTTTATTTGAAATGCAGCATGTGATGTTGTTTAATAACTTTCAAACGGTAGAGCCTGTTCCTTTATAACATAGCCAAAGGTCGGTGTATTTTTGCTTTATACATTTTAGGCTTATTCTCAAATTCATATTGTGTTATTTTAATTCGGACAATTTGACCGGAGAGATTTAATTTTGTCGGACATTTAATTTTTTTCCCGGCCAATGTCCGGTAATTACCGGACAACGGAAACCCTGGTATATATATAGACAGACACACTATAGATGCGTATTGAAGAAGCAGCACATGATATTAGGAACCAAAGCTATGTCAGGATAATTTCTGTAAAATCCATCAGTATTTTTAAATACAAGTAAATATCTGTTATATCACAAGGGGTTACTAAAACACAAACAAAAAAACAAAAATTTTATGATCCCTATTATTAAAATAAAAAAATAAAAAAATAAACTTTTGACCAATGAATTTCCATGACCTTTCCAAATGTTTGCAAGCTTTGTTTTACTCAATTCAAGAGAAATAATTAGCTGATGAAATATTTTAAAGCAAAGCATAACTAGAAAAATATATATTCAATATAGACTTTTTTGACCAGTTTTCCATGACGGTAGGAACTCTGACCAGAGAAGATCCAGGTGTTTTGAGTTATTTAATCTTGCAACAAGGGACTCTACATACTTTTCTCCACCCTCTGAGATCTAGGAACCGATCACCACATATGAGAGACGAGTTACACATGAATTCAGTGGCGAGGTGTCTGGGTTCATTAAATGCAGTAATGTGTTTTGACAGATGCCAGACCAGAGTGTTGACTTTTAAGCCACACTGTGGAGGACACGGCCCAACAAGCCATCAGGTGGATTGATGGGCAGCTGGTGAGTAACAGCTGAGGTAATGCGCCTTCTGCTTTGTCACCCTGAGCAGTCTTCGGGCTCCAATCCAGCGGCTTTTCCCCAATGCAACTAATGTGCTTTAGGCCCTGGTCGAGCAGACAAGCTTTTCACTGCTCTTAACTTAGAGGAGATTTGCTTTTCTACAGCTACCTGTCACTCAGGGCAATTCCTATGGTACAAATAATTAATGCCGGATATGTGTGCGTATGTGTAAGGGGCCTAATTTGCTTTTGTTCTTCACGCTTGAACTGAGAACCCTTTCAGCATGTAGCACAAATTCCCCCCTGTCATGCAAGGCAGGCGGAGGAACGCAAAATGCGGACCCGATGTCTGCTAACAGGGCTCAAAATCACAGCAAGCGTTCTGGTTAAAAGGCCCTTTGAGACTGACGGGGGAATGGTTGTAGAAAGGATTTCGCTAGTCAATTAGACAAACCAAACCACTGCAAAACATTAAAAGAAACACTGAATCACACTAACACGAGGAACATCAATGAAATCACTGAATTGTCCTGTTTACACAACAGCTTAAAAGAGTGGCTGGATTACTGTCTGTATGAACTAATGGCTGAAGTCAAGCCCCTTTTCTTTCATGATAGCCTGAAATAACACCTGTATCTATAAAGTAAATATCAACGAAGGCAACTTCCATAACACTGGAAAATCTCATCACAATTAACACACCGTTATTTAATATATTAAACTCTAATATACATAATACATTCTAATATGCTAAAATTATTTTAAATACAAATCTTTTGTAAAATTATAAATGTCTTTACTGTAATTTTTGATCAATTTAATGCATCCTAGCTGAATAAAAGCATTAAAGGTGTTACTGACCCAAAACTTTTGAACAGTAGAGTCTTTATATATTTAATATGTGGTGACTACTGGGCTGCTTTGCTGATGATTGAGAATCAGTTGCAATAGAAAAGACAGTAAAAACACACAGGAGTACATACTTTTCCATCATTGAAGGTGTAGACGGTTCTCGGGGACGGGGAGTGGGAGTGGGTGGAGCTAGTGTTGGCTTCCTCTTGACACGTCTCCTGTGGTTCACTGATCGGCTCTACCACCTCTGCTTTGATTGTCTGTGTGCCATTGTCATGCATCGGTTCTGTATGAAGCAAAGCAAACCATTGATCAGCATTCTTCAGTAAAGCACAATTTAACAAGAGAAAGATGAGTGTAATCCTGAGAAAGTGTTGAAGGCAGACGTTCCCTGCTCTCTAATGACAGTTTTGAATTAAGTCCAGTGTGGCTGCAGTAAGTCCTGGCACCTCTCTTTGGAGCGCTGCCTAAAACATGGCTCTCCCGTGCCTCAAGACAACCGGGTCATTTTAGCTCAGTAAGCTGGCTTGGTGGCTGGCCGCACTAAGCTCTAATGTATCTGTTGAGTTTTAATAGCAGTCAGTGCTCTGCACGTCTGACCCTAAAGAGCCCTGGCCGGTCTAATCTTCAGCCTGCTCCACCAGCTTGCTCCAGACCACAGTCTGTTCCCCCACCAATCACACACACACACACAGCCCAGCTGGCCGGGACACTGGCCGGACCGCTCTGGACACTATGTCCTCTTTAAGCAGCCTGTACTCTAGTCTTCATCCGAGTAGTAATCAGTCCCTGCAGCTCAGATATATGTGGAACATCACATAAAAATGTTAAATTATTAAGGCTGCCAATTTAACATGCTAATTTAGTACAGTTAATTATAAATAGACGCTGAAAAAAAAACTGTAAACTTAATGGCCAAAGACAGTCTAGCACATTTCCATATACAAATAATTAAAAAATAGTGTTAAACATCCCGTGGATTGCTGTGGACAACCATTGATAGACGTAATGTTTAATGACATGAAATTACCATATAATACAATATACTGACTTATAAAGTCACTTTTTTTGTAATGTCTATTCAATGCTTTCATCCACCATTCTTTGAATTATCTTCATTTGGGGGGTTTTCTCAGCAAATATTGATGTGTGTGATTAATTTGATTAATTAATAACAATTACATGACACAATTAAATTCCTGATATGCTGAATATTAATTAAGTACTTGATATGCTAAATAATTATCACATTAATCAAAGGATTAACATTTTAATTGACTGACAGCCCAAAAAATTAATCAAGAACATTTTTAAAGGGAAAGTTCACCCAAAAATGAAAAATTTGTCATCCTTTACTCACCCTCATGTTGTTCAGTTGACGGCACCCATTGACTTCCAGAGTATTTTTTCCTACTATGGAAGTCAATAGGTGCTGTTATCTGTGGTTACCACCATTTTTTAAAAAAAAATAACTTCCTCTTGTGTTCAACAGAAGAAAGGAACTCATACAGGTTTGGAAAAACTTGAGGGTAAGTAATGACAAAATGTTCATTTTTGGGTAAACTATCCCTTTAAATTGCTGTCTGAAGATATTCATTCTTAATTTAATTGGAAACTAAATACTGCAGTGCACTCACTACAATAGCCTTCTAAAAGCTGACTAGCCATTGCTGCTTTTGTAGTAATGAAAAAAAAAGCTCTACAAAGGTCTTAAAAAACATACATTTAAAAGGTAACATTACGTTGTATAGCAAGCACTATAACAGATATTTAAGACTTTAAATTGATTGGATGAGCCATGTTTGTAGCCGCAAATAAGAAAATCAATGTTAAGGCCTATTCAAACAGTCTGAGTTTTCAATACAGATGCACAATTTCAATGGTTCAGAGAACAGTCAAATTTTGATCTGTTGAACAGTTTTGGTGTATATTGTTTAGTTGCATTAGCAGTGTGACCAGGCCTTTAGTTGGTCAAGTCGCCCTATATGTACGGTTCATGCAAATCTTACCGCTGCCAAGCCTCATGAGCAGGACGTCCTGCAGGCGTCGGTTGAAATCCCGGAGCTCCTTGACTTCGGTCAGCAGACTGCCGTACTCCTTCAGTTTTTTGGCCTGCTGGAGCAGCTGCCTGCGTGTGCGCTCCAGTTCCTGCTGCAGACGTCTCATTTCTTCCTCCTGCTGCCGGTAGCTGTGCACCAGCTCCTCGTACAGGACACGGGGCACCACGGCCTCGTCCTGCTCTTCCTCTTCCTCTGTGGTGAGTCTGTCCAGCTCCTCTCCCTCCGTGCACGAGTTGACTGCGTTCCTCTCCAGCCGCGCCACCACCGCAGCCAGGCTCTTTGAGGAGTTGGAACTGGCCCGCTGCTGTTCCTGTGACTGGACCTGCATCACAAGATTGAGCATCTTGACCAGTGCAAATAGTGTACATGTAAATCATTTTCTTGCTTTTGGATATCTACCTTCCTCCAGAGTTAAGTTCCAACCCCATCAAACACCTAAAAAGGATCTTCCAGTTCACAAAATACAGTACGGTCTTTTTAAGGGGTGGTCATACTTTGAAAGAGATCATGTCATTATTGTATTATTTTCTATATATTATTACTATATCAGACATCCCACCTCTCCCACAAGGTCCGGGAGTGAGGACTGTTCCCACCTGGTATTAAGATGCATGTTCGGTGAACAGATCACAAGTGGTCAGCCAAGATGCATTAGACCTGGTATTATCACACATCTCAAATCATTCTTCTGTAACCAACACTTGACTATTTCAGATTTTGTGGAGAGCCTCTGCTCTTTTTTTGCCACACTCAACTACATCACTTTCACTTTCAGTGCATGAATACTATTGAATGAATGAACGAACGCGTGTTAAGCAGCTTACGCAAATAAATATAATAGCAGCCTATAATATTTTCTTTCTAATATTTTCGTTGTTGCCATCTCCCATAGATTAGTTTTTGAAAGGTGGGATGTCTGCTATAGATTATTTTCATTTTTGATGATTTGAAATTAGCATTTTTGTACGAAGTGCCGAGGTCAAATTTTGATGTTTAGATTAAATCTGTTGCCAATTTCCAAATGTGAAGGACAGAGTTCACCAAACTCAACCTTCAGTACACAAAATCCTACTCATATTCTTGCATTCACATGGGTATGAATGGAAGACCACCATGTCTAGCATGACTTCTCTTTTAAAGCATGGCTGGAAGAGCAGCTGCATCAATACACACAAAAATGACAACTTTTTAATTCTAAAACTATCACTAATGGGCCAAAACATCGCTAATTAAAAAATAATCTCAAGATTTAATATTCAATGCCACTGTAACAGGGCTAAACTGGCTCAATGGATAAACTGTGAAATTAACTACACACCAACTCAGTTTATATTAAACACCAAGTTCAAACTAAGTAATTAAGGTATGAACTGCAAGAGCACACAAAACTGGGTCGTAAACTTAATGGGTTGCAGAATTAAAAAGTCAAGACACTAAAAATACACAACAAGCCCACCGAAGAAAGAAATGGCCTTTCTGGTCTCTTGCTAAAACTGCAAGATTAAACAAAACTGGCTTGAAACATTTGAAATGTCAGGACAAATTCCATAAGCGTCAAAACATGTTCTAATATTTTTTCTTGTTTTGTTTGCGGAGTATGAACCACACTCTTAAAATCAGCAGAAAATCCCTGTTGAGCCATTCCCAATCTGTCCACATGTTTCCCATCTACAAATCCAGACCAGTAACAGAAAGCTTGCCAATGTCTCAAAATCTTAAAAAAGGGTCGACCAACCTTTTTATGTCTTAGGGGCATTCTCTCCTCGCCAAAGTGATTCTCCACTGTGTTCCTGTTCGACATCTTGGGTATTTTCATCTTCTTTTGCATAATACTGTGCTCAAATTCCTCAATGCTTTCTGAAAAAGAGGAGGGGAAATGCATCAGAGGCGCGAATAATATTTCATCTCTGTAATCTAAAATGATGATATGGTTAAAACAAGGACACATCAGCAAGAGAAACATTTTATGAGTTTGGTGGAGAAGTTTCCCAGTAACCTTGTAATGACACAGATGACTAGCTATTGTTGCAATAAACTATTAATGGAGCGTTTAACATTGCAAAGCGACGGTGACTGCACCATCAAAATGATTTTGACAGGCGGGGTCGTCACAGTTGTCAGCATGTGATGCAGTGTCAAGAAACCAAGGCCGCTCGGAGAAGACGGACCATATAAATGTGCATGCCTAGCCCCTTATCATGCCAAGTGGAAAATCATCAACATAAGATTGTGATTGTTAATAACTACATATTAAAAGTTTTACATTGGCCAGGTATGGCACATGAGCCTCAAGGTCGGCCACAACAGATTGCAGACTGATTTAAAAGCTGTGCTGGACGGCAGACTTCTGTCCCTAACGAGATCAGGGTTGTAAGAGCAGGTTAAGCCACACATGTAGATTAGTAATGTATCTAACTAGTCCTGATTGAAGAGTTGCAGGAGTGAAAGTGGCTGAAGGATTTCACTGTCTGCTTGAGCTCAAGTAGGAAGTGTCACATGATAACAGATCTGCCACCAGCACTGATTTAAACCCCACATAATATGATGACAAGTTATAATTTAACAGTATACAATGCTGGCATAAGGTTTCAAACAAACGGAAGGGCGTAAAAGTAAAAAAAAAAAAAAACTACATAAAATAATAACCCTTACCTGGCTAGCTAATGTGATGACAGTAAACCTAGCAGCTTGAGCTAAACACAACAAAACGTTGAAATACAGAACTTTCTGGTTATCGTGTCTGCTTTTCCTTATCTTTATCAGTTCCGATAGATTGTTAGTGTTGAGATGATGATCATTTTATTCGCTGTTAAGCTCTTATGCGCCGGAGAGAAATGAAGGAAGCGTTAGCAGCAAGCTAACAATCGCTTAGCATCCTGAGCCTCTTTCTCTGCCTTTAAAACCCTCTTATCTTTCGTTTCTACTTTCATGAACTTATTGAGACATTATCGTCGCGCCTTTCCCTTAGTTAATATTTAGATGGTCGTGCTTGTCAAACACAGACACGATGAACTTACATATCTCTATTACACAAACCCGACAATCACGACGAGCTAAAAACACCAGAATCATCAAGAAGACATCAAACCTATGACATCTTCTCCGTCTATATCCATTGATCACATCAAAACACTCATGTCACAGCATTAGTGTTCTCTCAACAACACAATACATGCGTGTTAAAGCATGTTCATGCAAGTCATGTGAAATTAAAATTATGATTTGTATGATAACTTTTCATCATACGCCATAAATATAATATAAAGCTAGCAGTAAACAGATAAAGCAAATATGATTCATATCAAAGTGGCAAGACATTTCAAGCATTTTGTCATGCGTGTCACTGTTATGTATGAAGATTATTATTATAGTTAAAAGGAAGAGAAGAACAGAACTCACCTGCCAGGGCGAGGATGTGTGCTTTGGCAGGATGGCCTGCGCCTCTCAGCACCACATACACCTTCTGATCATCAAAATCTCTTTTGTGCACAGGCTGGAAATCTTTCACGTCTGACACAGGTAACGCGTAGCACATGTCGTCCTCCAAGAAACGCACGAAAGCGTACATTATTTTTGCTCTTTGGTCCCTGTTCTTTGGGATAGGGCTTGACAGTTTCCCTCAAAAAATATTTAAAAAAACATATATAAACACAAAGAGGGGGGAGACAGTGGGGAGGCCTCTGCGATCGACTGCTTTAGTCTGGCTGGTGCGCATCAGTTGAGGAAATGCAGAGCCTGGTCGCTACAGACTTTACTAATCAAAACAGACGTGATGAGAGGTTTATTTAGGGGGTTTAAACATACTGTCTATGGGTTTAAAGTGTCGTTTGCTCTTAATTATTAAAAAAAAAGAAAATACTTGAAAAATACATACATTTTTACCAATAATAGATTTTTATAAAATAAGTTGTTTTTTATTACTATTAATAATACTCATTAGAGTGATTTTATATTATAAAACAAGATAGTAAATGACTATAAATACAATATTTTGTTTTATTGTTTTATAAAATATGATGTATTTTAACTCCAGATGGAGTTTTGTAGTTATTACAATACAAATGTATGAGAGTGCTCACTTGTTGTTGTTGTAAAAGCATGTTAAATAATGTATTTATGACTGCTGGCAAACAAGTTTCCAGTATAAAGTTGTTGTTTTTTCATTTAGAGTCACTTTACAGACAAATTCATAAATTGGTCATTTATCAAAGGCTCTGTTTACACCTGGTAATAAGATGCGTTTTGGTCGATCGGATCACAAGTAGATGAGGGAGACGCATTCCCCTTTACACCTGGTGTTTTAATCCATCTCTTTTGTCCACTTTTTACCACTTCTGTCCTGATTTCCATAGGGTCTATGGGCGGGCAAATGTATGGGCTTTTTCAGATCTTTGGATCTATTGGACGAAATAAGCTCACACAATTTACATATGAACAAAAAGAGTTCTGACCAGGTTTGGATCAAACTGCATAAAGAGACTTTTAGAATTATTCTAAATGGGTTTGCAAATATATTCTTTGTCAGTAAAAGGTCCAGGTACATATGTAGTATTAATTAGAATCATGCCATACACTTTAAATACCTCTTATAGGAGGGGCACACAATCCTGTTCCTGGAGATCTACTTCCTGCAAAGTTCAGCTCTAAACCTGATCAAACACACCTGAACCAGCTAATCCAGATCTTCAGGAGCACTTGATAATTACAGGCAGGTGTGTTGAGCTGGAACTCCTAGATCTCCAGGTACAGGATTGGGCACCCCTGGCTTATAGCAATAGCTATAAAAATCTCCCTCTCTCTCTCTTGGAGAAATTGTTGTCGGATATTATTAGACACTAAATTGCCACTTGCATATTTCAAAACATTCCACTTATACTCTAAGATATTTGATTCAGTCCAGCAGCCCCAACATGGAAAGACTGTAGGATGAATGCACCATTGTTGCATTCTTTTGAATTGAACTGGAGATTCATCACAATGTTTTGTATGTGGTCTATTATGTGGAACATCAACTTGAGTGTAAGGATCACAAGTCGAGGATGAAAAAGGCCCATGCCTGCCTGCTAGCACACTGTGGTTTTCCATCGCTATAGGTATCCACAGCTGCTTCTCCGTTAATGTGTTTTCAATATCTCTCATATCCCTGTTATACGGCATAAGAAAAATCTTTCAGGCAGCCAATCATTACCATAATCGATTCATTCACCTATTACTTTTGTTCTGCACCAATAGTCTCAGCTGAATGCTGCGAGGGAAGAGGTTTTCTTCAGGATCACTGCCGATTCTGACTGTATCAGTGTTTCTGCCAGCATGCTGTTTTGCTATCCCTGCCATTCTCTTTTCCTTGTTTCTCTTCAAATGACAAAGGCTGTCTGACAGAGAAGAAACATTTTGTTATTGTAAAACAGGCAGGTTGTTATACAAAAGGACAGATTTCTTCACTTGTACTTTAATAACGAGAAAGGCACAGTCAATAAATGGCACTAACAATTCGTTCTGCTTCGCCTGCCGTAATTGAAAAGTAAGTGATGCAGAACTTTGGATGGTTTGCCCTTTCTTCTTTTTTTTCTCCCCATTTATTTCCTTTCATTTTATGTCACTGTTTGAGTCAGATCTGCCATCAAGTCCTGAGCTGAAAGTGCAGAGAAGAAGTTCGCTCCAGGGACAAGACGTGGGCTTACGGACCGCAGGATCCATAGGGGCCAACAGACAGAATGTACTTTCTGTCCATCTATTCTGCTAAACGCCAAATCTGCAAAATGACAGTGATTGTGTCATGACCTATGTGGACAGTAAAAAGAACATCTGAGTCTCAGTGAATGAATGGCTGAAGAGCTCTGGGTGGACTGGGGCCCTTGGCGTGTTGCTGGGCAGAGCGGTGTAACTGATGCACTGTGAGTGGACTTTGCAGGGACGGGGCTCAGCGCGCAGCGAAAGGATTATTCTTAATCTGATCTGCTCCTCAATGGTTGGCTTGTCCTGCACTCAGAGTCGCTCCAATAAGACTACCCAGATCCCTTGGCTGATGCGTTCAAGTGGCTCCAGTTCAGGACAGAATGTATCAAATGTGAATTCAGCTGATTTCCGAACTGTTGAGCAACTTTCCAGCAAACAGGTCTGGAATTAAATGAAAATGCTGTCATCATTTACTCACCCCCATGTCCTTTTAAACCTGTATGACTTTCTTTCTTTTACAAAATACAAAAAAACAAAAATAAAATAAAAAAAATCCTAAGAACGTTTCAGTTTTTGTCCATACAGCAAAAGTCAATGGGGCCTAAACCAACACTGCTCCACATTGACTTCTTTTGTATTTTGTAGAAGACATAGGCTCATATAGTGTTCTTAGGACATGAGTAAATGATGACAGAATGAATTTTTTTGGTGATCTATCCCTTTAACATGAATGCTTGTTATGTTATGAAGTTCATCTGAAAATGTTTTGTAAAAAAAAAAAAAAAAAACAGGGTTCATTGTCCAAAAGGTCACTTTTCAAAACTCTTCACACCATTGGCACAGCAGTAAATTCCACATCAAAAATGTACTAAAACTAAGCTAAAAAAGAACACTTCACTTTCATAACACTAGCAAAGGTTCTCACACAAACACACTTCGACATTTATAAACCCAATAACCTAAAAACCCCCACTATAATGTTGATTACACAATGGGGTTTTTTTGTATTCCTTTACAAAACAATAATGGCAGCTCTCTACGGTTTAGAATTCACTGCAGTGTATGTTAAATGGTCAATGTTTATATTATTTCTAAGCTGTCCTCTTTTGTATCGATGGTAATGAAATTGAAAGACTGTTGCAGCTACTTATGATGAATGTCTCAAAGCTTGCCTACTCTTCTGCTACACATTCAAAAGTATGTACTTTTTTTTTTTTACAAAACAGTACATACTTTTAGGGCATAGTATAAGTAGGCAAATTAGGATGCAACATGTCACATGTGAAGGTGTTCAGCTAAATCTAATTGTTTTGATATTCATTTTCTAGATTTGGAATATATTTCAATATGGCATTACTATAGAAATGTAACACATTGTTGTCTTATTCGGTTTGTATTATGTTAGGTTTTGAAAAAAACTGGCCAGTAGGTACATTTTAGCCCACATAGACTGCTGTTGTGCGAAAAAGTGACCCAAGTACTGAGAAAAGTGTCTTGGCAATTGTACCAAAAAAATTTTTTAATTGCAAGATAACATTTTCGTTTCATGCTACTTTATGTGCTAAGTCATTTCCTAAATTTTAAATGCTTTCCCTCATTTTGACAGATAAATATAAAGTAATGCATTTTCCGTCTTTCAAAAAATCAAAACAGTAAAAGGTAATAGAGATTATATGTTACAGGTCCATCAAAACAAGGACAAAGAGATTCAAGGGCAGTTTCTTCCTCAGAGCCATAACCACCATGAACTCTAATATGCACAGATCCCTTTCTGCTACGTACACATACACGTGTACATACACTCTCGGGGTGCTATTTTTCTTCTTTCTTTTTTTTTACTTTGCAACGAACAGGTTTAGTGCAATACATTTCTTATTAGTGCTATATTTAAATTTGACTAAAAACTGTTTATTTTTGTACTAAATGTTTCATATTTGTGTCGTATGTAATATTGTTTGTGTTTGTTGTATAATTTTTCCGGGACCAAGGGAAAGCATTTCCAAATTTCGTTGTACGTGAGTATATTGACAATAAAGGCTTTCTATTCTATTCTATAAGTAAAGAAAAGGGGGGAAATGAAGTTTTAGAGCAGCCAGTGAAAACAGATCAGGAGATGTTAAGATTTAGGTAGAAAAGTATGAGATACCGGCAAGTATAATTCATGTGATATTGTGTTAAATCAGGTGACCATATCTCAAGGCAGTCTTTTTCGTGCACTTTCACAGAAGAAAAAGTCTCATATAGCAGAGCATGGTGCTAAAGGTCATGGGTTCGATATCCAGGGAACTAAAAAATGGCATTATAATGTTTTTATGATTGATTAAACAAGAGCATGACAAACAAAAATGATATCAATGTGACTGATAATGATTATTTGTAGTGGAATGCAACACTTCCTGCTCCTGTTCTGTTCATATTATTCTTATAAATAAAAAAATAACACATACTAGAGGGAAAACTAAAGGTTTGTAGGTATGTCCTCAAGATTTCCAATACACAGACTAAGTCAGCTGCTGACACGAGACAGTCATGTCATTATGGT